TAGGTATGGCCAGAAACTTCCGATGAAGCGTCCATTGACATCTAACATGTTAACCTGAGCTCTAAGCAAAGGTTCTAGGACCAGGGCCTGATTTTGGTGAAGGATTCAGAATCCAGAAGGTCTGGAAAGTCACGAGCAACATTCCTTTAAGGCAATAAGTTCCTCACTTATGCAGTAACTGTCTTTGAGTTAGGGACAAAGAAAATTTTGGCCAAAGCTCAAGACATCCACATAGAGGTCTGAGCTGACTGACCTTGGTGGGGCTAGAAAATCTGCTCAGAGATGGTAAGGCCTGAAAGGGCAAGGAAGTTTAGGGGGTCATAGGCCAAAGCTGGAAGAACCAACTTAGTCCCTTCTTCATGGTGTTATTGACGAAACATGTTAACCTCAGGGTCCAGGCCCTGAGCTCTTTGCTTTCCATGAGTAAGGAAGCAAGTATGTGGCTTCTCTCCACTCCTTTCCACAGGCCTCTGGGGGCCCAGAAGCTCCACCACCTCCCCTATCATGTTACAGGCCCAGACATGGGTTTTGTTGCCAGTGCAATTTACCTTTTACACCAAATGCACAGGAAGAAGGGGTTCCTCAGACTCAAGTAAGTATGTGACCAGCATTCCATGTACCTTCCCCAGGATTGCTGAGGGATCTCTTCACCCCATGCATAAGAGGAAAAGAACAGAATTTCAGGTGGCTCAAAGCCATAGACAGCAGGGAAGGGGTGAGTGGGAGTTGGGGCTGTGGGGGTGAGCAGCACATGCAGCTGTCTGTCCCAGCTGCCAGTTATTGGGAACTATGGGCCAAGGACACAGCATCCTCACTTAACTGGAATCCTGAGATAGACTCCAGCAAGGCCTGATCTTCTGGGTCAAGACAGACAAAGACAGGAAGAGAAGGGTAAGAATTACAATTCACAAAGTTCATCCTTCTATCCCTAGCGTCTTGAACTTTGCTTGGCACAAAGTAGTTCCATCATAAATACTGAATGAAGGAAGGAACAGACACTTTTTTTTTTTTTTTTTGGTACCAGGGATTGAACCAAGGGGCACTTAATCACTGAGCCACATTCCCAACCTTTTTTGGTTTTGAGACAGGATCTCTCAAAGTTGCTTAGGTTCTCACTAAGTTGCTGAAGCTGGCTTTGAACTTGCGATCTTCCTGCCTCAGCCTTCTGAGTTGCTGGGATTAAGGCATGTACCACTGTACCCAGCCATGAATGGACATTTTTACAAATAATCATCTCATTCAATCTACAGTGAGGTACTGGCAGGGTGTTGTATTGTTTCATTTTGCAGGTGGAAGAACTGAGATCGAAAGAGTGACTTTTCTAAGAACATTCAACTTGACTGTGGTCTTTCTATAGTACTATGCTGAATATTCTGAGTATAGCAACCCAGGAATATATCCTGTGACTCAATGTGAACTTCCCTTTGTGTCCAACTGGTGAGAAAATAGTCTTTCAAGGGGCCAAATTTCCTGGGCATAGTCTCAAGGCCAAGGCCATGTTTAGATAATCTACTCTTCCTTGCATACTTGGCATCTGCCTGCGCCCCCCACCCCTGCCTTTTTTTTAAACCAGGGATTGACTCAAAGGGCACTTAACCCCTCAGCCATATCCTAATCCCTTTTTAAAGAAGTTTTCATTTTGAGGCAGGCAGTCTTTATTTTGAGGCAAGTTGTTTAGGGCCTCACTAAATTGCTGAGGCTGGCTTTGAACTTGAGATCTTCCTGCCTCAGCCTCCAGAGTTGCTGGGATTACAAGTATGTACCACTGAGCCCAACTTCTTGCTCTTTAATAAGCAGCTCCTAAAAAGGGGCCCCTTCATCAGTCTATGTTGCCACATCAGAATCAGGAGGTCTGGACCCCTCAGAATAGAGGTTGGGTTGGTGGCTTCCCTTTTGAAGTCAGGAAAAATTTAATGAAATCATAGCATTCAGTTCCATATTCTCTTACCCTCAGCAGAAACTTCAGATGGTCTTGACCACAAAAGTGAGTTCCTGGAATTCAGGCAAGCAACTAACTTGTATTACAAAGTGGGCATCCTAGGAGCTCAAAGCCCAAGTCCAAGCAGGTTTTTTTCTTAATATTTATTTATTTACTTTAGTTTTAGGTGAACACAATATCTTCATTTTATTTTTATGTGGTGCTGAGGATTGAACCCAGTGCCTCACACATACTAGGCGAGTGTTCTTCCTCTGAGCCACAACCACAGCCCAAGTCCAAGCAGTTTTTGTGGAAGGAAGTCTCCAAAGCCAATAAGTGGGCTAGAGCTGGATATCTGAACTGGAGCATCCTACATTGGCTGGATGAATATTATATCATATGGTCCTTCTCTTCACAGCCTCTTTATGGAGATACCGAACTACAGAGTACAGGAACAAGAGTCAGAAGACCTGGGTTCTAGTGCTTTGTCACTCATCAACTATGTATCTTCTCTATACTTCGTTTTTCTTGTCTACAAAATGTGAATAACAATCCCAGTCTATATCACAAGGCAGTTGTGAGTTTAAAAAGGAATGGTTCTCAAAGTGCCTGTAAGCACAAGACAGAAATACTGTACAAAATATAGTATAAGCCACTACTGCTCCCTATGACAGGGGAAAAAAAAAAGGAGCAGGAGAAGGCAACCTTCTGGGGTGCCTCAAAGCTGTCTTTTCCTACTCATTCACTGATTCATTCACAATAAAGCGCCTACATGAATAAAGTATGTACAAAGTGCTGGGGGAAATATAAAGATATTTAAGATATGTTCTTTGTTCTCAAAGAACTGAAAATCTACCACAAGCTGGACCAAAAGATGATCAGAGATTCCAAAGGAATCAAGATCAGCAAGTGTAAAAGGGCAGTTCTATGAAGAGTCCGAGGTACTAGAATTATTCACCCAGGTGAAGAGGTGGCAGGGGGAAGGAGTGGGGAGAAGGGCGTCACACTGCATAACGGTCTCTGTTTGTCCAGGAGGAAATGAGGTCATCCTTCTCTCAAAGAATCAGCATGACGGCCTCCAGCCAAGTAATTCAGAGTCATGAGAGCTGCTGGGGGAGCAACATGAATCACGACAGACTGCTGGGAATTTCCTGATAACTAACCTAGGAGTTTCGGGCTAAGTCCTCAGGCTGCAACATCTCTGCGTTTTGATCACGTTTATTTACAATTAATGGGTTCTCAAATCTAAACAAAACTGGCCACAGTCTTCTAGAGGAAGTAGCAATCCCGGCTCTGAGAGGTTGGAACTTTTGACTCAGTGGTCCCATGGAAAGCTGGCAGAGTAATGAGCACAGAAAAGCTAACCCTGGAGGATGATGGGTCACCTGCCTGTCTAAAATTATGTACTTTCCCCATTCAGATGTTGGCACCATAAGGCCTCCGGCTGGAGCAGAGCAAAGGGGCCTTCCTCCTTCCTACCGGCTGGCACTCTCCCTACTTTCATTCTGCATTTCTCAAGTGTTGACCCAGACTCAATGTCCAGGTTTGCAAGGCAATAAATTGCTGTAGGTGGAGGCAGGAAAAGGAACTGAGGCTTGAGCCCTAAGGAATGACAGGGATTCAGGCTCCTCCCTCCTATGAAGGTAATGAATCCAGCTGGGTAGCATCAAAATGACTTCTGAGCCCTAGGTCCTGACACTAGGAAAGAAAGATGAAAGTGACTGAACTACAGAGTCCTCCAACTATGCCTGGGGCCTCTCTGTGTAAGTGTGTATGTGCATAAGCACACATACACACGTGCCTGCATCTGTACACAAATGTGTGTGCTTGTCCTCAGGCAGGAAGGGCAAGTGGAATCATTTACACATGATCTTTTTGGAGGCCAATTTTATTTCAAAAATAATTGTTTTTAATCTTAATATAAACAACACTCTATGATGCACTAGAATACTATACACACATGCATTTTATTTATTATTATTTTTTAATTCTAGGAATTGAACCAAGAACCTCACACATGCTAGAAAAGCACTCTACCACTGAACTATACACCAAGACCTACATGCATTTTAAGATGTGTCATTACCTTTTTGAAATGGATGGTACAGGGATGTGTTTTTAAATTTTTAAAGTGCAAAAGGGCATACAGTGGAAAATAAATCTTCCTCTTACCTTGTCATCCAGACCCCAGTTCCTCTACTCTGAAGTAAAATCAGAATTTCTATCCCTCCTCAATTTTCAGTCTACATCAATAAGATTTTACTATTCCACTGTCTTATTAAATAACTTTATTCTTTCCCAGGCAAATAAATGGATTGTTCATTATAGGAACTTGCTAAAAATCCATCAACACTTCAACAAGAAGCTTCAATAGTTTGTGGCCTCAGATTTTGTTCCCACAATCCTATAATATCATATCATGACCCCTATTTAATCCTTATCATGCTTTCAACTCCCCCTCTTCAAAGACGAACTTCAAACCAAACAGCAAATTTTCAATAAATTTGACCTTACATTTCCCTCTTTGATAGCAATACTAAACTCCCTTACTAAGGTGAGAAACAAATCCAGCTTTATTGTGACTGGTTGAGTTGGTGGTGTTTGGGGAGGTTGTATTGGTGATATCTGGGGATCAGCATTCGATGGAGGCTATCCCTCTTTTCAGGTGATTTTGTGTCTGTTTCAGTTAGCTTGTGTCCGGTACGTTTTTCTCATTGGCAGAGACTATAAGAGCGGAGGACTATGCCCCTTGAATCAAGGGTCTGAATCACTCTCTAGGGAGGTGGGGGCTTGGAGAATACAGGTGCCCTTCCCTCTCTGCAGTTAGTGGGACGCAGCACTCGGGCGGGGCCCAGGGCCAGGTGAATGGGAGGAGGGGAGAAGAATTTACACGTCTCTCGAACTTTCAGTCCAAACTCAGTTCGTCCTCAGCGCTTGAGATCGCTTTGGCCCCTATTCTTTGTCAAAGTGGCACAAGCAGCGGGGCCCGGGTCACAGCGGGTACCAGGGCAGGGAAGGCTAGGGGAGGGGGTGGAGCGGGCAATCGGAGCGCGGGGCGGGGCCAGGGCTGGGGCGGGTCCTAATATAGGGGCCGGCACTGCCAGCCAGCAGCACAGCACCGAGGCTAGAGCCCCAGAGCCTAGCGGTGTAAAGCCGTCCCTGCAGTACCCGCCAGCGCCCTTCAGCCGCAGCCACCGGTGAGTGCTGCTCGCCTTAACAGCGCGGGGCCAGAAGCGCTGCAGCCCCGACTCCTGCGCAACTCCCTTCCCCTGACCTCGGGTAGCCTCGGCTTTGCAGCTGCGGCGAGCCGGGTCACAGCTTGTGTCCCAAGCCTACCTCAGCGGGTGTCGATGCAGGCTGCTCCTAGAGCCTGGATACCCCAGAAAGAAGAGACTACCCGGCCTGGGGAGCCTGGTCAAAGTTGACTCACCCCGCAGGGCACCAGGGGTCCCCCCCCCCCAAGCTGCAGTAAGCCGCTCAACGCGCCTTCTCTCCCCTCTGCTTCCTGCCCTGACTTCTCCTCCTTTTGCAGAACCATTGTCTAGAGCAACTTCTCCACTATGAGAGTCCTGCTGGCGTGCCTGCTTCACTGCGCCCTGATCGTGAGCGACACCGAAGTGAGTGGTTACCCTGTTGTGACTGTCGCAGGAGAGGCGTGTAGGACCCCTGAACAGTGCCAGGGGAAGAGAGGAATTGCATAGATAGCTGTAGTCCTCCGGATTCCATCAACAGCAAGGCCAGACTCTCCCGGAGAAATAGAGCAGTGTGTCAGTGGGGCCCTTGAGAACCAAGGGGGTTCATACTCTCAGGTCAGGGAAGAAGAAACTTCAGGAACCGCCCTATCCTGGGGGCATATGTACGTGAAACTTATTTGAGTCAATCTATTTCTCCCTGCAAAAACACTCATAGTCTTTCATTTGAGAATTGGTTAGATATGAACAGGGTGAGGACAGAGGAGCTGGAGGGAAGAGTGGATTTTGGTATTGGGACTAGTTTATCCTTATCCTGGAGTCCCAATGCATGGGACCTTAAGTGACCACGTGTGTCTCTTGCAGGGCAGGCATGAACTTCAAGCATCAGATGCATGTGAGTATCTATCCCTTGCACAATAGTTGGCTGCACACACATCTTGGAAAGCCGTAGGGGGCAGCCCCTCCCTGCCTCTGCTGCAGGACTGGCTTCTCTCAGGCTCATTGCTTACCCCACCTTTGTGCCCTTCAGCAAACTGTGGCTGTCTGAATGGTGGAACATGTGTGTCCTACAAGTATTTCTCCAACATTCGGCGATGTATCTGCCCAAAGAAATTCCAAGGGGAGCACTGTGAAATAGGTATGGAGATTCTGATTCTAACTGGGAAGAAGGAGGCACCAGAGATTTCAGGGCAGGAAGAGATAGATGAGTGGGTTGCAGGAGCAGACAGAAGCTACTTGCTGGAGGTGGGGCAGGTGACATGTTCATTGCTGTATGGTATACACAGTCAATCTCTCTCTCTTTTTCTCTCTCTTTCTCTCTCTCTCACACACACACATACATACGCACACACACACACACACACACACACTCTCTCTCTCATGAAACAGTGATTATACAAATGTGAGGTAGGGGGATAGAATGAAACCATTTCCAGTGTCATCTGCCAGGTCTGAAACATGTCATCTTGAAAATGCCTGTATTTCTACCCATTTTAATATTCTCTCATCTTCACATCCATTATAGATACATCAAAAACTTGCTATGAGGGGAATGGTCACTTATACCGAGGAAAGGCCAATACTGACACCAAGGGCCGGCCCTGCCTGGACTGGAACTCTCCCACTGTTCTTCAGAAAACATATCATGCCCATAGACCTGATGCTGTTCACCTGGGCCTGGGGAAGCATAATTACTGCAGGTGAGGAGGGGGCAACAAAAACCAGGATTTCTTCCCATTGCCTCTCAGAAACCCTTGTTACCATCTCTTCTGCTCTCAGAGTGCTAGCCACAGCATGAGAAAAGCCAGGTCTCTGGTTGAGTCTTGCCTGGAAGGGAGGATTCAGGGAAGGTAGTCTGGGTTGGAATGACATCCTTTGCCCCTCTGTGTTGCCAGGAACCCAGACAACCAGAGACGGCCCTGGTGCTATGTGCAGATTGGCCTAAAGCAGTTTGTCCAAGAGTGCATGGTGCAAGACTGCTCTGGTGGTAAGTGTCACTGATTGCTTATGACAGTGGAGGGGAAGGGGACAAATTCATATGTCCCCTATCTCTATCCAGCGGGGTTAAGGAAGGAGGCCTGCCTGAGTAAGATACCTTATTCTTCTTGCCTCCCCAAGACATTCATTTCTTTTTCCTCCAGGCCAACTAAAGTTTCAGTGTGGCCAGAAGGCTCTGAGGCCTCGTTTTAAGATTATCGGTGGAGAAGCTACCATCATTGAGAACCAACCCTGGTTTGCAGCCATCTACCGGAGGCACCGGGGAGGCTCTGTCACTTATGTGTGTGGAGGAAGCCTCATCAGTCCTTGCTGGGTAGTCAGTGCCACACACTGTTTCATGTACGTTCCTTTGTCTCTCCTCTTTGACTCTCCTGCCCCAAACCAAACATATCCCTTTCTTCTTCCCGGAAGAGGATTCAATTTCTATTCTTCCTGTCAGCCTTTTTCCATGTGGCTCATGGCCTTGGGGATAAGTTATGTTTTGAGGCCTCTGTGATGTGGAAGGGGAAATGACAGAATTTCATGGGATCAGGCTGTCTGATGCATGTTATCTCCTACAGTAATCACCAACAGAAGCAGGACTATATTGTCTACCTGGGTCAGTCAAGGCTTAACTCCAATACCCTCGGGGAGATGAAGTTTGAAGTGGAACAGCTCATCCTGCATGAAGACTATAGTGCTGACAGCCTGGCTCACCACAATGATATTGGTGAGTGAAAATAATAATGGCCAGAGGGGAAGAGAGGTCCAGGGAAAGAGCTAAGTGGAGGTTGAAGTTGTGGAGGAATTTGAAATCCCTGCCTATACAACAGGGAATGGTGGAAAAGAGTTCAAGATGAAATATTTGAAGGATCTGGTGCTCCTCTACAGAGACCCCAAAGCCTCTTCTGAATTGAAACAGCTCTATGGACCTATGGCTTGGTCTGGGAATATCTTGTTTATACAAATTAGGATGGATGCAGCTTCTGTCTGTATCAGGATATAGAATTTGGAGAGTAGAGCCTTGGGCTGGATTTTAGCTTGGCTCCCTCAGTAGGGCTTTTTGCAGAAAACAATCTATGCAGCTATAATGCAGTAGCCCTAGCTGTCTAAGCCTTGATCAGTAGCTAAAATGAATTCCTTGGAGTATGGAGCAGAGAGGCTTCCTGGTGACAAGTAATCAGCAGACTTTCCTGTATAGCTTATAACCCTACTTACCTAGAGATATACATAGCCACTCCCTCAGCATTTGGAGGGGAGAGAGATGGTAACCACTTGACTAAGTGGTGATCTTTATCCTGTGACTCTTTTCTTCCCCCAGCCTTGCTGAAGATCCGTTCCAGCATGGGCCAGTGTGCACAGCCATCCCGGTCCATACAGACCATCTGCCTGCCCCCTAGCCATGGTGACGCCCAATTTGACACAAGCTGTGAGATCACTGGCTTTGGAAAAGAGAATCCTAGTAAGTAACATTTGGAGCTGACTGAGGGGGCTCCTGGGAGAGTGTTGAGAAGTTGAAGTGATTGCAACATGATCAAGGGAAGACTGGAGATGGGAGTACAATGCGTGTGGCAGGTGATCCAGGGATGGAGAGGGAAGCATTGTTTAGGGAGTGATGGGCCACAAAGGTAAATAGATGAGGGATTAGTGGCTATGGGTGGAGTAAAGACTTAGATTGGGATAGAAAAAGAATAAGAGTTTTCCCTAGTAGGGACATTTTTGTTGGTCCCCTTCTTGGCAGGTTCCCAGAGAGACACATCTTAATGCAAACTCCTTGCTTTTTCCTCCATCTAGCTGACTATTTATATTCAAAGAATTTAAAAATGACTGTTGTGAAGCTGATTTCCCACCAGCAGTGTCAACAGCCCCACTACTATGGCTCTGAAGTCACCACCAACATGCTGTGTGCTGCTGACCCACAGTGGGAAACAGATTCCTGTCAGGTAAGATTTCGAAGCAACCCTTTCCATTACCCCCAAATCTCCCCAGTGCTCCTGAGTCTGGCTTCATCAACTTTGGGAAGTCCTTACATAGGAAATCAGAATAAGGAGCTCAGGTCTTTGGGGAGATTAAAGCAATGCTTTTGTGTACCCCAAACATTTGGCATGAGCCTGGCTCTGTGCTAGGCACTAACATCATTAGAAAAAGGCACTAGTAGAAGGCAGTGTAACTCCATGCTCAGGATGCATGCAGTGTGAATTACAAAATACCCAGTATTTAGGAGAGGCAGGAGAAGCTTTAAAGAGAATGTGACTTGATAAGGATTTAAATAGGTAGAGGGAAAAAAGGATAAAAAAGGTACAAAACTCAGACGGAGTGTGGAATATTCCAAGATGGGGAGGAGAAGCAGGGTCTAGGAGCACGGATGGAAAGGCGACAGATGACAAGGCTTTGAAAGCCAAATAAAGGATTTTAAAGTTGATATGGTAGGATATGAAAAAGTCACTTAGGACTTTGACTTCAGGAACCTCTCCCTATTCTGTCAGACATGGTTGGGTGGTGGGATCAGAAAGCCCCCTATTCATTACTTCCAGGGCTCATTTCTTGTGTCTTTGGCTTTCCAGGGAGACTCTGGAGGGCCCCTCATCTGCTCCACCCAAGGCCGACTGACTCTGACTGGCATTGTGAGCTGGGGCAGTGGATGTGCTTTGAAGAACAAGCCAGGTGTCTACACAAGGGTCTCACAGTTCCTGCCCTGGATCCACACCCACATTGGGGAAGAGAATGGCCTAGCCCTCTGAGGGCCCCCAGGAAGCCTAGGGAGAAAAGAAATAGGTTCCCCACTCCCATGCTGACCATCATTTCTGCAGTACGGTCATCTCCAGCAGCTGTAAGGAAGAGACTGGGGAAAACAGGCTCTGCAGAGATGCTTTTGCTTGTGCTGCCCAACAAGCTGAGCAACAATAGCTTTACTCTCAGTCACGGGCCTGGGTGCTGGCTGCCCAGACTCCCCTGGCAAGGATGGAGAGGTGATCCTGACTCAGGATGGTATTGACTAGAAATTGTCTTTTTATGGACTATCCTCCTGGAGTTAAAAATGACATCTCCTGGGGCTGGGGATGTGGCTCAAGCGGTAGCACGCTCGCCTCGCATGCGTGTGGCCCGGGTTCGATCCTCAGCACCACATACAAAGATGTTGTGCCCACCGAAAACTAAAATAAATAAATAAAAAAAAAAAAAAAAAAAAAAAAAAAAAAATGACATCTCCTGTGCATGCGTAGGAGGAGAGCTGGCTCCCCCTAACAGGGTCATTCATGAGGCCTGCTATTGGGAAATGAATAATTTCCTAACTAGGAAGTGTAACAGCTGAGGTCTCTTGAGGGAGCTTGGCCAATGTGGGAACAGTTGTTTGGGGAGTAGAGACACTAATGACTTGAGGAAAAGCTCTGACATTCCATGAATGGATCAGAAAGTTTTATATATATGTATATATGTGTGTACTTGTGCACCAGCCGTAAGTGTAAGTGTGAGTAAGAGCTGGTGTGTTCCTGAGTCTGACTAGGAGTCTAGATAATTCCCTAAACTGTGGACTGTGATGCCACACAGAGTAGTTTGTCTAGAGAGGTTGTGGGTCACTCCTGACGCTTCTTGGGTCTCCACATGATGATGCTTGTGAATGTATTATCCTTGGGTATGACCCATGACCAGCACTAAATATCTGTTTTACTTCCATGTAGAGCTCTCTTTCTGGCCAATTATTCCTTCTGACCTTTCAGTCTAGTTTATTCAATCCTCACTGGGTGGGGTAAGGATCACACCTGTATACTGAATATTTAATAATTATATTCCACTATTTTTATTTATATCTATTTTTTATAATTGTGAATAAATGTGATCAATAAAAAGTCATTTTTCTGAAAACTTTGGCTTCTCCTTGGTCTTATATGGGAAGTGGGTGGGTAGAATAAAAGGGAAAAAATGATGAAGGTGACTATCCTGAAGTTTCTTTTAGGGCTTAGGTGGACAGCTTTTGGGTTGACCTCAACCAAGAACCTTCAAGAATGAAAACTGATCCAAAATGCCAATGTGAATCTATGGCATATGAGGAACAGAAAACCATCTGTGTGAGGGATTGGTGCTGAGTTTTCTCAGTGTGTTAATGGAGCATCTCAGATTAATGTGAGATAGGAAGTCGACGTTAGGAGAGTTGTAGGACAGGTTCTCTATAGCTCATAAGGCACAACACAGTGCCCCAAGTCAGAGACTCATGGCTTGGTAAGTGGTGTGCAGGCTGTTTTGGTTCCTGATTGCCTCCTCAGCCTGATGCATTTGTGCAATGCACATCTTGGACTACCCTCCCCAGAGGTCCTCTTTACATTCTCTATATTCTGTGCATAACAATACTTTAACTGGCCTCAACCTCAACCAAGAAGAACACTTGCATGAGTGAAAATTGCTGATCCAAAACACCAGCTTGAGCCAGTGGCATTTAGGGAACAGAAAACAGAATTTCCTAACGTGTGCATATGAGGCTGGGACTGAATTTTCTCTGTGTTAATGTAGCTCAGGGCAAGTCATTGCTGTCCCTAAGATCAAGAGGCTCAGGATCCAATGCTGGGTGGTGTTCTAATGGGGGTGACCACACATTTTGAACCAAACATCAGGTTCTGAGGAACTGGGATATAGAGGCAATCTGAGAGAAATAATTGGATGTCAAAATGTTGAAATTTCTAAGTCATGTTAATGGATTTGGGCAGTGTTTCTAAGGCAAGTCACCTGAAAACCTTTTAAAAATATATACACACCTATGCCCCACCTGCAGAGTTTGTGATTCAGGTCACGGCTATTGCCAGAGCTCGTGATTTTAGGAAAACTCCCCAGGTGTTTCTGATATGTACCTCTGACTGAGATAAAAACCTTTGGGAATAATTGGTCAGAATATATGAAGGGCTGAGAAAAATTCAAGATATGGTCAGCATGACTTCTCTGCATAAATAGCCAATTTTCTGAGTAGAATTTTGAAGGCACAAGGTATGGGAATTCTGTGGATCTCTGGAGGTCAAGAACCCAGAGTAGGGCTGGGGTTGTGGCTCAGTGGTAGAGCGCTCGCCTCACATGTGTGAGACCTTGGGTTTGATCCTCAACACCACATAAAAATAAATAAAATAAAGATTAAAAAAAAAGAACCCAGATATTCAGCTTTTAATACCCATCATCCAGGATGTTGATTCAAATGGGATGCTGCAGCAGTTCAGAATACTGATTTGGAGTTAAGTAGGTTAGATTATAATCTTTCTTCTAACACTAGCCATATGACTTGGGATAGGCCAGTAACTTCTTTGTGGCTCAGTTTCCTCCACTGTAAAAAAAGAGGCAATAATTACCTCCAAGGATTGTTATAAATATTCATGAGTTCCCAAGTCTCTTAGTACAATCCTGCCACCTAATAAAAGCACCAATGCTGTGGCTATTTCAAAGACAACTAAATGTCTATAGAATTAAAAGGGAACTTCCTGGAAAGCTTCCTTCTCTCTGTCCCATCCTAGGATTGTACTGTTTTGTGGGAGCAGAAATTTGCTAGGAAAGTAAAGGCATGATTTGAAGTTAAGGGACCCAGCCCAGCCCGAGTTGCTATTCAGCTTTTGTATTTCTCCCTCCAGGGGCCAAGAAGATCTTGTCCAGACTTGAGGAGCTCCAGCATCAGAGCTCCAAGACACTGAAAACAGGAAGTATGAGCCCCACTGCAAGTTGAGCAATGAGGCAGCTAACAATCTTCAGACCATTTCCCAATCACCACCTCCATGTGGGAAGTTGCCATCTTTTCCTTGAATCTTAGAGCCCACTGAGGGCTGGCTACACACCAGCCACGTCTTCAGCAATCCATTTAGTGCTCACTATGACCATGCACCATATACCATACAATTCACTCAATTAAAGTACACAATTGGGTGGTTTTAGCACATCACAGAGTTAAGCAACATCACAATTGATTTTAGAAATTTTTTCTGCAGTACTGGGAATTGAACCAGGGCCTTGTGCATATTAGGCAAGTGCTCTGCCACTTAGCTACACACCCAGCCCCAAATTTAGGACACTTTCATCACCTCACAAAGAAACCACAAACACATGAACTATCATTCCCTTTCTCTCCCCAAAATGTAAATGTAGTTTCAATTTTGTCTGATTTAATTCTCTCTACAAACTTATGAGGAAGGTACTGTGTGATTCTTAGCTTCATTTTACAGTAGAAAAAATGGAGGCAAAGAGCGATTGAGGGATCAGCACAAGGCAAAGCAGCTGCAAATGCCAACAGCCATTGTCTAACCCAGAGAGCCAGCTCCAAAGTCGGTTCCAAAGTCCTTGTGTCCAGCACTAGGACACACTCCTTTATAGAAGGGCCCAAATGGGAGAAAGGAGAGCAGTCCTCCTTTTAAGTCCCCTACTTCAGGGATGCTGGTTTTCTAGGCACTGTGTATCAGAATTTCAACTGTATCTTCAATGATAAGTCCTCCCTCTTCAAAGATTCCCAGGCCAGGTGAGGAGACTACACTTAGCTACCAGTTTCAAAGCATAATTTCACCCTTCTCAAGCTAACCTCAGCCTTTTCTGCTGAAATCTGGTTTCATTGAAGTGGTTTCCGTTTTCACCAGAATCCTTCCTTCTGAAATGTTCTGTGGCCCATTCTTCTCAGGACTCAACCTGATTTCCACTTACGCTGGGTCTTTCCTTACCCAGCACCCCACAATAGCCACACCTCTCCACACTCACTCTTATTGAGTCTACTCTCCTTCCCAGCAGGAAACATCTGAGCTCTCTTTTGAGTCAGATACAGTGAGAGAAGTTGCTGAGGTATTTTTAAACTAACAGTTCTACTGAGATATAATTTATATGTCACACAATTCACTCAATTAAAGTACACAACTGGATGGTTTTAGCATATCACAGAGTTAAGCAACATCACAATTGATTTTAGAACTTTTTTCTGCAGCACTGGGGATTGAACCCAGGGCCTTATGCGTATTAGGCAAGTGCTCTGCCACTTAGCTACACCTAGCCCCAAATTTAGGACACTTTCATCACCTCACAAAGAAACCACAAACACATGAACAATCATTCCCTTTCTCTCCCCAACCCCTCAGCCCCAGGTAGCCCTGAATCTACTTACTATTTCTATGTACAGGTAAGTCTCTGGACATTTCTTATAATTAGAACATATCATGTGTAGCCTTTTGTGACTTTCTTGTTTTAGCCTGTTTTCAAGTTTCATCCACACTACAGCATGTGTCAGCCCTGTCTCCGAATTTTAAATAACAAATTAGGAGAAAAGAAGCTTTAGGCTCCTTAAGACCTTATAGTCACATTGAGAAGTTGTTCAATAACCTTTTTCTTTTTTTCTTTTGGTTGGGGTGGAGAGTACCAGGGATTGAACTCAAGGCACTCAACCACTGAACCACATTCCCAGCCATATTTTTTTGTGTTTTATTTAGAGACAGATTTCACTGAGTTGCTTAGCACTTTGCTTTTGCAGAGACTGGCTTTGAACTCGCAATCCTCCTGTCTCAGCCTCCTGAGCCTCTGGGATTAGAAGTGAGTGCCACTGAGCCCGACTTTTCTTTCTTTTTTTAAGTACCTATATATCAAGCATTCAATTAGAACCTGGGTATGTAAGAAAAGATGAGATATCCCTAGTCTTTAAGGAGCTTATAAATTTGCAGTGGAAACAGAACCACAGCCACAACCCAACAAGATAAGAGCAATAATAAAAGTGTGCATAAAATGCATGGAGCCATGATGAAGAAGCTCTTAATTTTGCCTTGGGAAGTCAAGAAAGACTACAAAGGAGGTGATATTCCATCTGGGCCTTTAAAGATGCACAGAATTCACCAAACGAAAAAGAAAAAGGCATCCTAGGCATGGGAAAGATTATGGAGGCATAATAAGGCAAGGTGTTCTCAAGAAATGATGAATATACTGTACTGGTAGAGAAAAGAGTTTAGAAGACAATGAACAGGCAGAGTGGTGGAGGAAGCAGCTGGTGAGGATTCCTAAGCAGGGCTGATGCTCAGCAACAGGTACCAGTTCTGCCAAATCTCTAAGTACAGTAGATGCTGTCTTAAGAT